GTAAGAGAGATTATTATTCCAGTTTTATGGAAAGTGGGGGCAAGTGGGGAGAAACTGAAAGACACTTTCTTAAGGTCAGAGAGTCAGCTTTAGAATTCAGAACCACTAACTCCCAACCACATGTCCATTCTTCCACATGACAATATCCTCATGTTAGAGGTGCTAATCTTCTAGAGTTGCCATTGACTTCAGTGAGGTTTTGAGTCATCAGCATATCCAGCCCCATGACTTTGAAAATGGGAATCCAGAAAATGAGGAAAACACAGTTGAAAAGCAAGGATATAATTAAATTTTCCTTGGTCTTGCTCATCTTACCACAAGGCCATCCCTTCTTTTCCCATAGTCCTTTGTCTTTTCCTTTATATACTGTCCTGCTTCTTAATCAAGGAGGGTAAGGATCCTACAAACAGCCTACACAGCCCTGACAGATTCCCTGAGAACCATCCATCCCATCTACCAATGGAAGCAGAAATCTGATAAGAGTATATTTTTGCTAAATAAAGGGCTGTATCATAATCTATATAAAAACATACAAATTAAGGTCACACAAGCTACAAACAGACACCTCATGTGTGGTAGGTCCTGACTGTCTCAGGGTTTGGCTCAGATCAAAATAGGAGTGGTACACCTGTTTACACACAGAGCTGTTCCAACCTGCATTGTTTCTCCTGCCTGTAAGTGGTCAGGGAGAGCACAGAGCCTGACAGGCTTGTCCCTAGAGTGAACTGCAGTTAAGCTAAATGAGTCACAAATAACTTACAGAAAATATCCTGGGAAAAACCACTAATGCCTTTTAATGGCATATTTCACAGGAATGTGAAGGAGGACAATGATTGTAAATGGTCCGTAGGGTATGACAGTCTGTAACGAAGAGTGACTGAGAAAGCTTGGAGGAGGTAGTTAGCTCAGTCAGTCTGAAGTCAGGCAGAAGGCAGGATAGATGTGCACCTTATAGACTAACTCATGAGCTTGTCAACCAGGGGTATGTGGTACTTGAGAAGGCCCTAGGGGATACATGCGGGTGGGCAGGGACAGAGTGCCAAGTACTTGCCAACACACACCATCCTGCGGTGCTGTGCAGGTGCCACCTGCCTGGCTGGTAAACTGCTCCATGTCCTGCCACTGGGGGTACACTGATCCAAAAAGGTTGAAATCTCCTGGACTAACTAAATCAAAGATGTATAGCATGAGTTTTTGTGAGCCCAAGCTCTGTACATCAGAAGCTGATGAAGTGAGCTCAGGCTTATGAAAGCTCAGGCAATATGTATTTTTGAATTAGTTAGTTTATAAAAGGGGTGGCCAATCTGCAGCATGTGTACCACAAACCTGTGTGTGTGGCATGTGGTGGATTTGGTGAGGGGACAGGCAGCACAATGGCAGATAGGGCAGGGGGCAGAAAGCAGAGTGGCAGATCAGGCAGGGGTAAGAGATCAGATTGGCATTCAGGAAGGGTGCACAGCTAAAGATCCTTTTCTGCCAGCTAATTTGTGGCACATCTTCCAAAAAAGGTTGGCCCCTGCTGGTCTATAAGGTGCACATCTACCCTTGCCTTCTGAGGAAGCCTGGACTGACTTTCTTCTAAGGGAGGTATGGGGGCTTCTTCCCTATGCAAAGAGAGACTACTGGAAGAGAATAGTGGGTCTCTCCTTGTTTCCCCCAATTGGAAGAGGTGGCTGATTCCAAGGTTCTCAGTAGAGTGTGGGATGCTGTTACTTCTTTGATATTGTGGGCCTAACTACCATATTTTCTTCCATACAACACATCCCCAAATAAAACATTATGTGTATGGAAGGTAGTATATAGAAAAAAAGATTTTTCCAGAGTCATGGCCAACTATGTGACATACAGTAAATCCTTCTGGAAAGTGTCTAGCAAGTGTGGCATCAGGATCTTCCTGGTGTGGCATACTGTCTCCTGTGAGGCCATACTTCTAGGAAGACGTATTCTATATCATACAAGGCTAGGACCCAAATCTTTGCAAGGGCAGTCATGTGGCTATTAGTTCTTTACTGTAAGTAATTCTTTATATGAGATCCTAGAAATAAAATGTTGCTTCCACATCGAAAGCCTCGTCAAGACACTACCAACAGCTCAGCTGCTGTTTCAGACACAAGCTATATTACTTGGCCAATAGCTATGACTATGAGAGGGTTAACACAAGAATCTGCCCCTTCAGCTTGCTGAACAGATACAAGCAGCCAACATTTTGGCAGCTGCACAGCATACACAGTGTCTCCACAGACTTGCTTCTTTCACAGTGAAAAAGTTAGCTTTCCCTCTTAAAACATACTCCAATTTAGGGGGAAGGGCAAGATGATTTGCGGGGAAAGGTCCACATTATATGTTAGAAAATATGTCATTTAGAACTTTAATATTTGGTTATTATTCAGCCAAAATATACCCTAGGGACACAAGCAGGATAAGGGAAATGGCAGGATTTTAAAGTAACTAACTCAGCCAAACCCAAAGGGAATTTCATTGGGCAAAGACAAGGCTTTTCTCTGGCCCCAGAGATTTCTCTTTTCTGACTTGAGAAGGTCTGCTGCAAGCATTAAAAGTATCAGGGCATCTCAAATGGAAAAAAGTCACAAGAATCTTCTTGTAATGGAAAAATGTTCAGCAGATTCAATGTAGAAAGCACTACTAGCTCCCCTTTTATGTACATGGATTAGATGTCTTCCTAAATGTTAAAACATATATTTCTGCAATCTTCTATCTCTTTGCTTTTCAATAGGAGTTTTGAAATTACAATATTAAGGTTGAGCATTAGCTTAATTATTGGTCTTTGAATGAAATCTATACATTCAAAAGTACCCTGTTTTTCAAAATTTGTTGAGACAGTCTGGTCTTAAAATGATTAGCTAAATGCCCAGAAAACATCCATTTAAGAATATTAGATCTGAAAGCTAATTATCATTATAATGATTTCTAATTGTATTTAATTGTTATCAGAAAGCTAATTGAAATGTTCTTGATTTTCATTCTGGTTAAACCTGACTGGACAATATTAGTTGTTATAGGGCCAGTGTGTCAGTTGGTGTAAATCAGAATAGTTCAGTTGATTGGAGATTAGGTCATTTACATCTGCTGAAGATCTACTTCTACATGTCATTAAAGGTTAACATAGGGTCTGAATCACTTCATTACACCTATTTTATACCAGCATAACACTATGGAAATTAATTATACGTAACTCATGTGACAGAGTATAGAATCAGGTCCATATTTCTTACCATTGATATCGCAAAACAGATGCGTGTCAATTCTGCACCTCTGAGATTATTCACATGTCTGTGTCTTACAGGAGTGGGCACTTACTGATAAATTAGTTTATCAGTTTTCAAATTTTGTCATTCCGTTTAGACATTAAAAAGAATTGTGCTTTTCACAGACAGCGTGGGAATCAGACTTAATTATTTTAAGAACAGAAATCACTAATTTCAAAAGAGTCAGACCTCAGACCATGAGAATATGTTATTGAGAGCATGAGTGTGTATGCTTGTGACAGGAATGTAAGAATAAATGCTGTTAAAAGCATGATGGGATCTGATACATGAGCCCAACAATCATGTCTCCTGCTATGTCACACGTGCATGCCAGGAGGTGTGACCATGGAATTGGGGATCAGATCTCGATTCCACCCTATTGCCAATCTCACATCCTGGGCTCCCCCTGCACCAGCAAGTAGTAATCCAGGAGCCTGGCACTCCTGTGGCCCGGACCACCAGTCAGCTGATCAGCATGTCCAACCTTGCGATTGCACGGGAGTCTTGACAGACTCTATGGTGCTCTGAAGGCTGGGAGTGGCCATGTGTTTAATTTAAGGCGCAGTGGGAACCACCACAACATTATTACTCACATTTTGTGTAATAAGTTTGTGGCTTGTTCCCCGTTTTATAACACCGTTACTTGCTTGAAAGTGTGACCAAGTTACTATTGAAGACAGGGGTGGGCAAAATGGTGGATTTGGCTGGTGGCCAGATTCTATTTCCCAGCAGCCCTTGCCCATGTCCCAGGAGTGGTGGTGTTGTGACATTGCAGGGCCAGGGTTTCCACGGAGACCGCCCCTGGCAGAGCTGGCAGGGTGGGCAGCAGTGCGGGGGGTTGCTCCAGGGCTGGGATCTTGTGGTGATGACAATGTAGTCTGGAGCCAGGGCAGAGCTGCGATCCTCTGCCTGCACACCGATATAAGATTGACACTGATTTAACAAAGAATGCGACTAGTTCACACTGCAGCTGTATCTTGTTCCTCAAGCTTTTACTTTTAGATTGGTTGAAAATCTCTCCAACTCAAAATACAAGAGAAAATGCAGCTTTTTACCACATCATTACTATTTTTCAGTGTTCAAACTGTAGACAGTGCAATGAGTTTAGACTTGTATTTATACAAGTCTTCATAGTTTCATTATCTCTAGCAAAAAATTTTCATGCTATGTGAAAATGAAGTAACAAAATTCAAAAATCCTTTATCTAAAACAACATTTAAAATCTGTATTATGTGGTTTTTATCTGGAATCTGGTTTTTCCATGAACTTTTTGATCGGTTTAGAGAAGCTGATTAAATTTAACACAAAGGAAACAGTAAAGTTCTTTCCAGTGAGAATGGCTAAACATTGTTTCAAGTAAAATATATGCAAAATATTTGCAGATACTTTATAAAGCATCAAACCCCTAAAGACTAGCTTCACTATAAAATACTCTTGCAATGTTTATTTTTTACTGTACATCAGCTGTAAACTTAGCTACTTTCTGCACTGAGTTTATCTATCTAAAGAATATATGATTACAGTGGCATATGTCAAAGATATGTTACAAATTATGCACATTACACTACACTTTATTAGAGTGATCATGAAGACTATTATCATGGCATGTGGCAATATTTCTTCTAAATCATCCAGTAGAACATATCTCCTTATTAATATATCATTAATGAATTAGTATCATTATAACTTGTTATTAAATTAATGGATTATGTTTTAATATAATGGTATCATTACCTGTACGGATTTGTGCTGGTACTGGTATTGAGCAAAGGTATTTTTTGAAGAGGCAATGTCAGCTTTTTCAAATTGTTTCTTCACTCTTGCCAAACCACCAGGTACTGTACAAGCTTCTGATTCTTCTATAGCCTAGCATGATTAATAAAATAAGGGTAGCTGTTTATCTTATACAGTAAGGCAAGACAATCATAAAAAATATTATTTCATTAGATGAGAGCAGTTATTTAAAATTTGGTACTTTTAAATGGAAATCCTGGACAGTATAGTTACTTATGTAGCCACCTACAATTGGTATATTCATTGTAGATGATTACACCTTCAATTGCTATATTCTTTCCTATATCATTGTATATTATATTTTATATATAACCAGTCAAAACAAAGCTTGAAATACTTTTTTTGCATCTCTGTGAGTGCATCTGCATGTGTGCCTTACTGCAGATTAGCTCCACAGTACAGCATCACTGTCTACACATGTGCCAGTATTAGGGCACAGTAAATTAATTAACTTCTGTAAGATAGCACTGTCGGAGACGGTTCTATTTTATTATGGTGGAGTCATTTACTGCTCAGAAATGCATATGTGGACAGTGACCAGGACTACAGCAGTTTGAGCTGGGTTGGTACAGCCTCAGACTGGCAGCAGGCTCGGGGGGGGGGGGAGCCCCCAGGCTCTGCAGTTTTTGTATAAAATAGTACTGATGGGGACAGTGCTATCTTGTGGTGGAGTCCTTTACTTTGCAGAAATGCACATGTGGACAGTGACTGGGACTGTAGCAGTTTAAGCCAGGACAGAGTAGCCCTGGGCTGACAGCAGGCTGAGGGGGGCAGCCACATGGCTCTGCAGTTTTGGTACTCTTGTTCCCCAGCCAGCCCCTCCACTGCCTGATGCTGTCACCTGGAGCCCAGGGTTGACTCCTGGAGCCTGTTGCCAGCTCAGGGCTCCTCTAGACCAGCTCAAGCTGCTGCATCCTGGGTGCACGTGCAAACACTGTGCCCAGGGCAGCCAACACTGGCACAACCTGTGCCAGAGTTTATCATGTCGTCTTAATGACATGTGTAGATGGACCCAGTCTGATAAATTTTGTTGAGATATCTCAGTATTGTTAGAATTTCTTCAATTCCATTAACTGCTCTATACCTCTAGCCAGCAGGCAGCCCCTGCACTGAAGCACCCTTGTGCCCCAGCCAGTCGGGGCAGCATCTACTTATCTATCTATTTTACTCTGCAGCAGAATAGCAGTGCTGTAGCAAGGAAGTTTGGCACCTGGGCAAAGCCTGCAGCAGCAGCCTGCCCTCACCCCATGCACAGATCTGGGGGAGACATGCCCCTCTATGCTTGCCCAGGAGTGCATGCAGTGGCAGAAGCTACCCTTTCCCCGTCCGGCTCTGTTCCACATCCCACCCCAGCCGGGCAGTGCCTGTTGGTGCCCCTTTGCTTTGGTGCCCAGGGCGGTCACCTCACTCACCCCCCACCACTTGCTACAGCACTGCAGAATAGTATTTGGATTTATAAGTACTATCTTGCTGCAGAGTAAATTAGTTGCAACAACAATCAACATATAGATAAAAACAAATTAAGACACAGCACTTTAAACCTAGGACACCTGGACCTCTAGTTATGGCTGAAGAATGTGTATCACAGCTTTCTCAGGAAGGGTTTTGAAAGTGGCAGTAGGCTGTCTTCACACTGCTCTGGCTCATGATCTTCTGGTTATCAGTCCAGGCAATGCTCCAACTAGTAGCTGGACATCACCATTCTCAGGGCCAGCTGAGAGATGGGAGTATGGCAATCTTTCTGTATCTTTGCTCATTTTGTACTTCAGGTGCCAGCCTGTGATTGAGACCTGGATTTGATCTCTTGCTCAGCCAATGATTTCTTCTCAAGTTGGGGCAAATCATTCAGGGATGGTTTACACCAGGGGTGGCCAACCTGCAGTACTCATGTCACAAGTGGTATGGGAAGTATCTGTGTGTGGCACATAGCAGATCAGGGAGTGGATAGACAGCACAATGGCAGATGGGGAAGGAAGCAGAAAGCAAAGCAGCAGATCAGGCAGGAGAAGGGGATCAGTGTGGCACTTGGGGAGGATGAGTGGCTAATTTGTGAAACACTTGTCAAAAAGGTTGGCCACTTCTGGTTTATATTAGGAAGAGGTTATTTTTTTTACCACGCTATAACTGGTTTAGTAAACCCTGGGTTTACCTTGACCAGGTTAATTTGATAAAAACAGGATAAATGAATTAAAGATTGTGAACTGCTCAGACATCATGGTAATAGAGGAGGCATAAAAGGGATAAAGGGATGCAAAATGACCTCAGTGTACCTCAGGAACTTAGCATCTTCTCAGCACTTTGCTTTCATTTTTATATTATCATATTCATGCTTAATTTTGTACTTTTGTTGTTGTCATTGCTTGCACACAATGCAAGACATTTCTAATCACATCTTTCATTCAATTTTAAATAAACATTGTATATCTTATCATGATTATTGCTTTAATAATAAAGCTGTTATCTATATAGATACACTCTATTGCTCCTACTGATAGAATATTATCAGTTTTTATGAAAATCATGCATGAGTTTATCTTAATTCAATAACAAAAAGAACACAAAACAAGTAGGAGACAGTTTCTCAGATTAATATATAAGCTAATGTTGTATTCAAAGAACTTGTTGCTTGAAAAGCAGTAAATACTGCGTTTTTGTGCTCACGAGTAATTTGGCATTTGTTTGTTCAATTTACCAATTATTACTGCAATGAAGTAGGCTTTGTTTGCTATATGTTGATCCAAAATATTTTTCTCTAAAATATCCAGAAAATAATAGCTATGTATCACTTTCTTTAACTGACTCCTGTATACTGAATTTTGTAAAAGTTCCCCCTTCAAAGCTAGACTCAGAACAACTGTAGCAACTTCAGTATAATAGTTACACCTATTTCTGCTGTGTTTTTGTTTTGGGAACTCTGAAAGTAAGTTTATTCTTTCAAAGTTTGCAAGTTTTGGAGATAACTGTTTTACATTGTCTCTAGATTTGAGTGTTGTGATATCACAGCCCAGCAGAGTAGAGGACAAACAACCTAGCTATGAGTATGACTAGATTAGAGTTTGTGGCACCCCTGCAATATGACTTGACTTCCACTTTACTCCATTTAACAAACACTATTTTCAGTGCTAACCTGACACACCATAAACAGTTGTTATAGGTTTCTATGAGCTTAGAATAAACCACCAGCATATGTGTCACATTAGTTTTTTTTAATTTTGTCATACTTTTGGGGCCCTTTTGGTTTGGCAATAAGACCTCTCTAAGCTTCTCAGTTAGCCAGAGGGAGACAGAAAAAGTATAAGTAGCTTGTCCTTTTCATGTGTTTTTGGTAGGAAGGAATAATTTAGGAAAATTTGAAAAAACCCTGCCCTGACTGTTAACTTATTCCTTAGCATTTTAAGGATCAAGCAAATAGATACAAACATTTAGAATGTGAAGCTAATGTGTTACAGGTCATATCCAGTAACTAGTATTTTCATCATCTGCCCATGTCCTACTGCAGGGTTTCTGAGGTAATAACAAAAGTGAACAAACCACCGAACCATACTTCATGTGCTTGCACCAACCCCACAGTCCCATTGTCTACCATTTCTTTTTATGCTATTCTTTATTTTACTATATATACAACTCATGTGCATGCACTTGTTTTCCTGTTCCCCAGTTCTGGACTCACTATCCATTCCTTTTCATGTGTTACACTCAGCAGAGAATCCTGGACCATATTGTGGAGTACTTTACTGAGTTAAAAAAAAAGACACGTGTAACTCTTTTTTGTTAACGTTAAATTCCTTCAGTTCCTTTTTAAATGGATTGTCCTTCCCTCCATATCGATGAAATGCTCCTGCTGGTGTCAAAAGCAGAAACACACTGGAATCAGTAAGAAGCTACTGTGGCAGGTCATTGTTGGTGCCTGCCACTTTAAGGACTGAACCAGCAGGCGCTTCATTGTGGCGGCCATTTTAGATCTCTGGCTGCCTATATAAACAGAACAGTTCACTGCTGGCAGGCCAGGCAGTAGCATTGCCTGGCTGCAAAGCTGAATGCAACACCCTGGAGATAAGGGCAGGAGCTGTAAGGGATGGTTTGGAGGTTCCTGGTCCTGGGCATGACCTAAAACTGCACCCTGCCGGGAGTGGGTGGCCTGGTGGGGCTCCCAGTGGTGTGGGAGCCTCCAGGAAATACCAGGCCAGTTACCACCTGAAAGGTGGGTCAGGACACCTTAATAAACCCAGCTCCCACAACCAGGTGGGCTACCCCATAGTAGGGCCAAGAAGGCAGACCTAGGTTAGAGTGTGGGCTATAGACTTAGAAGCCTGACTTAGGATACCGTCAACTGGTCAATGCTGGGGCCAGGACCAGAATGGGCAAAAGGGCCAGGGGCTTCCGTGAGGGACACCCAGAGCTGAGTGCCTGGGGTTTCTGACTGGCCTTGGAGGTGAGGCCAGAGCCTGCGTGGCCAAAGGTCCTTGGGGGGTCATGCCCAAGAAGGGGAAGAGTTCAGGGAGCTAGGATGAGGGTGGAGTAGGCCACCTGATTGGAGGGATCCAGTTAGGATCCAGATTGGAGGATTCTGGAGCCCAATGTGGGGCTGGTGATGCTATACCAGCTGTGGATGCCATGTGCGAGGCTTAGGCTGCAGTGTAGGGGAGGAATGGAGCTCCAGATAGTGCCCCCTGGCATCAGGGCAAGAAATGGGCAGCCTCCCACCTAATTACTATCATAATTATATATCATCAAGGCGTGGTAGGAAAGAAGATGGGTGGTCCAGAAACAGGTGAGCGGGTCATTGGTAAACTAGTCCCGAGGAAGCCCCCGTTACACTATATACATTTGTGGACCCTTATACTTGCCTCCCATAACTGTTCATTTTTTAAAATCACTCTACCTCCTTGAAGTTGCTAGAATACACAGACGCACACACTCCATTATCCCCAAGTCAAGGGTGCTGGTGAAATTATTTGCAATGTTCAAGCCTGTCATTGCACTGCCCAATTCACAAGATCCTACCATAATTATTGTGTTTTGCAAAATGTTTTGTAAAAATTGCTGATCAGGTACAAAATTTTGGTTTACTGTACCAGCAGCTAATTTCTCTTTTAGTAACAGATGTTAGTGATATTTAAAATTTGCTGTTATATTTTCAAATAAGCATGAATTTCTGTTGGGCAAATACTATATGTATAATTCCTGGTAACAATATTAAATATTTTTACAAGTATGTTGGTAGCAAGAGGTGGATCAGGGAAAATATAGGTCCCTTACTGAATGGAGGGGAAACCTTGTGACAGAGGATGCAGGAAAGGATGAAGTGCTTTGCCTCAGTCTTCACAGGCAAGGTCAGCTCCCAGACTATGGCAATGGGCAGCACAGTTTGAGAAGGAGGTGAGCAGCCCTCAGTGGTGAAAGAACAGGTTAGAGACTAGAAAAGTTGGATGTGTAGAAGTCCACTGGGCTCAATGGGATGCACCTGAGGGTTCTGAGGGAATTGGCTGATGTGATTGCAAAGCCATTGGCCGTCATCTTTGAAAACTCATGGAGATCGGGAGAGGTTCCGGATGTTTGGAAAAGGGCAAACATAGTGCCCATATTTAAGAAAGGGAAGAAGGAGGATCCAGGGAACTACAGACCAGTCAGCCTTGCCTCACGGAGCAGAAAAATCATTGAGCAAATCCTCAAGGAATCCATTTCTAAGCACTTGGAAGAGAAGAAAAGTATTAAGAACAGTCAGCATAGGTTCACCAGAGGCAAATCATGCCTGACCAACTTGGTTGCCTTCTATGATGAGGTGACTGGCTCTGTGGATGTAGGGAGACTGGTGGATGTGGTGTACCTTGATTTTTAGCAAGGCTTTTGATAGTCTCCCACAACATTCTTGTAGGCAAGCTAAGGAAATATGGGCTGAATTAATAGTCTGTAAGGTGGATAGAGAACTGGCTGAAGCATCAGGCTCAGAGAGTAGTAATCAATGCCTTGATGTCTAGTTGACAGCTAGTATCAACTGGAGTGCTCCAGGGGTTGGTCCTGGGGCCAGTCTTATTCAATGTCTTCATCAACGACCTGGAAGATGGCATAGAGTACACCCTCAGCAAGTTTGCAGATGACACTAAGCTGGGGGGAGTAGTAGATATGCTGGAGGGTAGGGCTAGGATTCAGAGTGACGTAGACCAGTGGTTCTCAACCTCTTATGGACCAGGACCTATTTGTAAACATTAATGACCAGTCCCAACTCAGTGTCCCTCACCCCTGACCTGCTGCCCCCTGCCCCTAGACCCCCAGTGTGTAGGGCTGGGAGTGGGCATTTGGGGTTAGGAGGGTGTGTGTGTGTGTAGGGCATCAGGGGCCCCAAGCAGACCCCTGCAAGTGGAACTCTGCCAGCCTGCAAGGGAAAAGCTGTGGCTTCCCAAATTTTTCTCCTTTAAAGGAGAATCAAATTTAAAGGTCTGTTGATCCATGTTTTAAGTTTGTTCATAACCCTTTCATATATTCTTGTGACCCGCTTTTGGGTTGCGACCCACAGGTTGAGAAAAGCGGCATCAGGGGCCCCAAGCAGACCCCTGCAAGTGGAACTCTGCCAGCCTGCAAGGGAAAAGCTGTGGCTTCCCAAATTTTTCTCCTTTAAAGGAGAATCAAATTTAAAGGTCTGTTGATCCATGTTTTAAGTTTGTTCATAACCCTTTCATATATTCTTGTGACCCGCTTTTGGGTTGCGACCCACAGGTTGAGAAAAGCAGACCTAGACAAATTGGAGGACTGGGCCAAAAGGAATCTCATGGGGTTCAGTAAGGAGAAGTGCAAAGTCCTGTACTTAGGACAGAACAATCCCCTGCACCAGTACAGGCTCTGCAGAAATGGACTTGGGGGTTACAGTGGACAATAAACTGAATATGACCCAACAGTGTGCCCTTGTTGCCAAGGGTAATGGCATGCTGGGCTGCATTGGTAGGTGTGTTCCCAGTAGGTCAAGGGAAGTGATTATTCCCTGCTATTCAGCACTGGTGAGGACACATCTGGAGTACTGTGTTCAGTTTTGGCCCCTGCACTACAGAAGAGATGTGGAAAAATTGGAGAGTCTAGCAGAGGGCAACGAAAATGATGAGGGTGCTGGGGGACATGACTTCTGAGGAAAGACTGAGGGAATTGGGCTCATTTAGTCTAGAAAAGAAGAGACTGAGAGGAGACTTAATAGCAACCTTCAGCTACCTGATGTCGGGTTCGAAAGGGGATGGAGCTGGACTGTTCTCAGTGGTGACAGACGACAGAACAAGGAGCAATGGCTTCAAGTTGCAGCAAGGGAAGCTTCAGTTAGATCAGGGGCAGGCAATTATTTTGGGTGGAGGGCCACTTACTGAATTTTGACAAGCGATTGAGGGCTGCATGATAGGCAGCCAGGGGAAGATAGATATTAATTTTCTAATTTTTTTAGGGGCCCTGTGGGCTGGATAGAATGTCCTGGAAGGCTGCATCTGGCCCATGGGCCACATTTTGCCCACACTTGTGTTAGATATTAGGAAAAATGTTCTCACTAGGAGGGTAGTAAAACACTGGAACAGGCTACCCAGAGAGGCAGTGGAAGGTCCATCCTTGGGGGTTTTCGAAACCTGGCTAGACAAAGCTTTGGCTGAGATGATCTAGGTGGAGATGGTCCTGCTTTGAGCCAGGGGTTGGACTAGATGACTTTGTGAGGTCCCTTCCACCCCTAACTTTCTATGATTCTATAATTTCTGTGAAGTAATAAAGCTATTGATTAGATATGCACACATAATAAAACAGAATTAAAATTGTCAGGATGCTTTTATTTCTGTATAATACCGGACTGCTTGTGCTGATAAACTGACTATAAAACCATATAATTTATTTTTCCAGCATATGAGAGTGCTCATGTTGTTTATATCACAGTAATTCCAAATTCCTTAGCTTGAGCATCTAGCAAGGACTGAAATAAAGACAATATTCTTCTCAATAAAATTTTATTATTTGCTGGCTATAAAAATTGGTAAAGAAACCTGTACTTTTAAAATAATAATTGGTTTATCAGAATGGCTATATTGCTAATTTCTCTCTTTTCTATGTTGAGTAAGCTACTTCTAATAGATTTAGTGAACGCAAGAGTAGAAAGAAATAAACATTTTCTGACAATTAATTAAAATGAGCCTTCCAAAGACCAGTAACATGGTATGGAAACTCTCATTAGTAGGAGCCTGAACAAAATTGTAAAATTGGCTATGTAGGCATTGGTAATTCAAGTTTTTAGTTCTATTCTACATCACAAAAGCATGGACAAGTCAGTGGGGTCTGTATGAGTAAGTAAGCAAAATAAGACACCATGGGATGAGAAATGGCAAACTATGAAGAGAACTATGATGCTAAATAAAAGGTAGTCTCTTACATTAATAGCAGAGCTGCTGGTCTCTACCTTGGACACAGCTGCTTGATACAAAGCCATTCTTTCCTTCAGTGGGAGAGCGTCCTGGAAATCCAATGGTTCAGTACCACTCTGGTTACTATCCTCTTCTGGAAATCCACTTACAGGCTTGTGGTAACCAATGATAGCTAAAATCAAACATAATGTTTTATGAATTAAGGTTTATTTCTTAAAATGAAATAGATGCATTTTTGAAACATGGATGGACAGACACATTAAATGACTAGACAGAGTGCAGGAGTTAACAGTTACCCAGTTTTTATAGGGAAATAATAAAGTTAAACTTTATATCATGCCCGAAGTGCCTAGCCTTTTTCACAATGAAGTTAATAGGAGTCTCAATGAAAACAGGATCTGATCCAAAGAAACATTAATAATTACTGAAACGAGCATCTTTAATTTTTTTTTAAACAAATAGTTTTCAGGAAGAAGCACTGTACATTTGCCTTGCAATTAAAGAAAATAAATATAGCCATCAGGCAGCTTGCATATATATACTATAAGCAAGATTGCTTTAAATTCTCTATACAACAAATTATACAGGGCACATTTTATGTAATCAATGGAATACAAGGGAAAGACAAAATTTAAAAGCAGAATTGGCTCTCTCCATTTTATTCATTTATTATAATTATTTTGCTTGTGCTACAATGCTAAAACCTTATTGCTAATTCATTCTTTTGACCTCACTCATAATAAATGGAAAGCCAAGCTAGTATGCAGAAGTTAAGCACCCCAGAGGCTTTGTTTAAATACTGTTCCTGCAAAGCTTATTATAAAATGCAATGTATATATTCCCATTCTTTCCATTTTTACCCTGCAAGCTAAGTCAATGGAAGGAGGGAAAGTTTCATCTCAAAGAGCCACAGTTACTGTAGGAAAAATTCACACAGTGGTTCTCAACTCTTTAAATTCAAGATACCCCTTGATAGACTCAAGATACCCCTCAGAAAATGCTAGCTTTTAGTTTTCACTCATTTTTGAGTGCAGAACAATAATAGAGCAATTCTTCTGTTGCATGAAACTTAGACCATAACTGGTCAGAATGGTATTGACACTATGGATTTCTATTTGAAATCTCTGGATTTATCTTGTGAATTGTGTTTGCACACCTAATAGTGCTAACACTGTGTTGTTTCCCACATAACCCTTGGGAGGATCTCAAGGCACCCTAGGGCCTTGAATTAAGAGTTGTTTCTCCTTCAAGTATGTCAGTGTGGATTTTACTAGGGCTGACAGGCAAGCAGTATCCTCTTGGATGATGGGAGTAAGGAGTTTCAGCTTTGTTACAATCAAATGCTGATTCATGCACTACTGTCCTGAATTTCCCTTACAACTTGGCTGGCAAGTTTTAGAGATTCTGCTGGTTACCTATGGACCAGGAAGATATTTATCTTGACACTGACATAAGCGGAGTTGTTCAAAGAGATTGCCATAGGAGAGAGAGTGAAGATGACTAGTAGAATTCAATCCAGACAGGCTGCATAAGTTCACAGTGGTCAAGTATGTAGTAAACCAAAGGTAGTCTTGAGGACTTCAGAAAATTTGAAGAAGTTTAACCTGAGCTACGACTGGCAGATCTGAAACTTGCCATGTTCTAACTGACTGCCACATGTAGTAAAAAGGAACCAATGAAGTAAGTCAGCCCTTGCTTTTGCCCTTCTATCAAAGCACAAACCATATCATATGATCTTGGCAGAACCTGCAAGAGTTCTGCTACAGCTCAAAGAATTGTAATTTGGATGTACGTTGCAAGTACATTGGATGTAGAACTCTGAAAACAATATGGGGTTTGTCTCACTTTATCCTTTACATATGGAATGAAGTATTTTGCAGTTGGTGAAAGGTATGATGACATGCTAGAAATATAGTACTGATCTTTTTCTCTCTCAGGTTTGTTCAGAGTGAAATACTCCCTTTTTCTGTAGTCATCTAAGTTCCTCTGAGGATGGTAGAATCCTCAGGGCAGTCCTACTGCCCTCAAATTATGGCTGATATAGCTATGTAGTAGGAGTTCAATGCACACTGTGTGTTAACAGGGTATTTATTCCATGCTGGGCACATCTACACAAGATGCTTACTGCACAGTAGCCTAAAAACACTGTGCAGTAGCATGCCAGTAAAAAACTGTGCCAATAAGCTACTGCGTGTTACTAGGCTACTGTACAGTAACTGTCATAAAAACTGTGCCCATGCTACTGCACAGTAAATGTAGTTACTGCACATTCAGCTAGTACTTCACTAAGGAAGTACTAAACTAAATACACACTAACTACAGCACATTAATGAATGTGTAGATGTGCCCACTGTGTCTGAAAAGGGCAGGAGGAAGTCTCGAGAGGCAACTAGACGAAAATCTCATTGAGACTTTCTTGATCACAGAGAAGTTATATTAGGCTCTTATGTTCAGCCACCAGCTATATCATATTTCCCCAGAACAAAGGCATTACATCTGTATTTAACATTTTTTTAATTTGGATTTTTCGTTGGACTCACTGGGCCCTGCAGACTAGATCTAGACAACAGGGCTTTCCAAGGGCTGGATGACCTGTGAGCAGTGGCAGCATTAATTCCCACAGCTGCTAGAGCTGCGGTTCCAGGATGGTGCCAGAATCTAGGGAATTAATGTCATTGTCCCCGCCTACCCCCCACTTTTCCCTTGCCATCAATTTTAGTTGCCTGGGGTGACTAAAAACCTCAATTTTGGCAGCAGGTAAGGGACGGGAGAGATAAGCAGTGTTAGCTCCCTGAGTGGTGGAGCAGCACCGAAATGGCAAGGTTTAATACCACCGTCACAAGGACCCTGGCATTTGACAAGATATGTGAGCTGAAGCACCACAAGTTGGATGACTAACTTTCGTGTGCCAGCTCCAGCCCATAGGCTATATGTTTGCCACTGCCAATTTAAAGAATTTCTTTGTTAATGCGTCTTACTTGTGGGATATTGACTTGTATCTGATGTGGTGGCAGTTGCTACCTTTTTGTATATTCAATATATTAGTAATTTAACTGGTTGACATATGGAGACAAATGTTTTGCAGTTTCTCTTCAACTTTATTAGGTACATACCATGGCTTTAGTATCTGACAGATTCCCACTGCCAACTGATGCATATTGCCTAGGAAGATTCAATGTTAAAACCTAAATTCCAGGATGTTGATTAAACTGCTTGAGATCACATAGTGCTTTGTTGCCATTTGCGGCTGTGACCCTAGTATAACCTAATATATATGAAATAATAGGAATGCTTATTTCATTTCCCTAGCACTTTTAAAGAAATATTATACTTCTCACTGCAAAATAATTGCATTCTTAATCTGGAGATTGTCCAGTCACACTGGAAAATGAAATGTAGAGAACAACCATATTACATTCAGGAGCAAGATCTAGTGCATCTATCTTTTTATTAGTTCTAATTCCACATTTTCCATTATAAATAAAACTGCTTTGTGAGAGTCTCTACAAATTAACAATGAGTCATTTTATTACTAAATTATCTTGTTAACATGCAAGGGGAAAATGGACTTTATGCTAACCAGCAAAATAAAATCTAGATATTTTAATTAGTTTGAAAATTATAGTTTAAAAAACTTTACATTAACCTCTGGAAATTTCTTGATTGTGTTTTTGGGATCTCCAAATCCCATCAGGCTGGATAGGTCAATTTTTATCATTAGTTACATCAGTGGGACTGTATGTGTAACTATTAGGGGAGATTATGCCCTTGCAAGTTTAAGATAATGTCTAAACCAAAATACTTAAAACTAAATAGTCTCTAAGCTTGTGAAAGTTTCCAGACTAAATGTAAGTGAAATTGATGGTTAAATGAGCTTAATGAATCAAATCACTTAAAAAAACTTTGTAATTTTTGTTTATTTGTTAAAAAAGAAGAAATGTTTGAAACCCAGATTCAGTATCTTGATCTCATTTTGACATAGTGCAACTGTAATATAATAACAGTTCTTTAGCTAGAACATAAAATGTAAATAGGCTGTGCAAAAAAAAAAAGTTTTGTTTTTGCTATGCAGCTCAGGTGCTGTGTGTCAGGTAGAGACAGATATTATGATTAATGGAAGTGAGATTTGCATTCACAATTAATTTTGAAAATGTAGCAAAAACAGTAGCATGGAAACTGCAGAAAGGAGGCTACATTAAACATCAAGATACAGTATATACACAGAGGACAGGGGACTAGTATGAAACATCTCTGTGCCATTTAGTATTCTCAGATCCTTCCCTACCCATATTTCCATTTTATGACATAATCTGATGTACTGTTCATTTATGGGATTTATTTCTGTGTGAATGTGATAACAGTTTTGCCCTTTTCTAAATATAACCCATGGAATAGTAAAATCAATATGCCAGTCTCTCAGATAATTCAGAGGTTAGAACTACGTAGTTGTTATCTTTGCCCCTTTTTCATCTCGCTTATTTCCTGTTAATAGGCACAATCCTAAATTGTGGCAATGGAACACCTACTGTAAAGGAAAATATGTACTTGTTTTTCTACTCTTCAGAAAGATACAATACTGTCGGGGCAATAGCTGTTGAATCTAAAGAAAGAACCTAGCCCTACAAATGTAATCCATCAGTAATTTAGAGAGAGGCAGAAAGTCCCCTTTGTGACAAACAGTTCTGCTGTAGCTTTTTAGTATGTGCAAGAATGCTGTATATTCCCTTACCTGTTGAAAGAGGAGAGATTGTATATTGAAAAAATGTGCATATATGAATATTATATTGTGTATGGTACACAATTCAAAACATGTCTACTTCTGACTGAACTCCTTCCCAAAAAAAAAATTCTCCAGCAGAGGGAGTCTTTCCTATAATTATCAGAGCATTACCTTGTTTTTAATGGCCCATAAGGTCATTTTGCATTCTGTTGCATTTTTAAGGAGTCCTTTAACTTAATAAGAGTGATCTGCATTAAGGAGAGAGAGGTACTTCCAAGATATTCTTCTGAGTATTATTTAATATTGGCAGTGGAACATGGTGAAAAAATATCCCTGAGGTACACAGTTACACAAAAAGCCCACAGAAGGCAGTGCACCACCTGGAGAATGTTATTTATTTAATTTCTTTATTCCTGCATGCTTATTCAAGCCCGATTTTATTTCTGTGCCAG